AAAAACTGAAAAGTTACCTCTATTGTCCTCATGGGTGCTGCCTTCACCTAGCCATAAACGCTTCTAGCCAAATAACTCAGCACTGTATATACAGAAAGGCAAATTAACAGCAAAAACAGAGATTCAACCGAATTCCCTCTGTTGGGACGAAGATTATGCGAACTTCCGTAGCGTTGAAGATGGTTGGTTCTAATACTTGCAGATGCCAGCTGTTGGCCACAAAAACACATACAGAGCTATACGGATCCTCCAGTATATCAAGACGGCTGATGTGGATCCCAGTAATAGTCTCACAGTTTGAAACGCTAGCTGCACGACGGGTAGGAATTGCTTTCAAGCAATTGCTGGCACTCTGTAAACCTGTCATGGGTCTATGAAGTTTTTTATGATGGGATAAAAAGATGTTCAGTGAGCAACATCAATCATGGCCTAAATATCTGCACCAAGTCTTGTTTACTGTTGTTGTCTGGGGCTGTAAGTTCCAAACTATTCTCATGAACATTGTATGAAACTAATTTGGTCAATGTATTGTAATCTTGAAATACATCAGACTGAAAAATTATACACATAGATGAGAACACCAGAAAATTTTTTGATCAAGGTGGCAATATTTTTAGGTCATTTTTATCTTCATTCCCTTCCCATGAATTATTTCATTAATATTTCAGGATTCTTTTTCAGACTTTTATAAAAGTGAAGCATTTCGTGGTAGACCAGGTAGGTAATCCCATATTTAACATAATATGCGCCCAGGGCACTCTCAAAATTAGAAATACGGGGCTCTTATTAGAATATTATTTTGGTGAAAAACAACAGTGTTGAAAAAGCGTAAATTTTGTGGTTTATGCTGACGACTGATATATTTTTTCAGAATTTAATTTCCCATAATTAAGGATGCATGTAACACGCGTATGATACACAAATGAATAAGTCTTGTGTTCATTGATCAATTGGAAAGGGTGCTAATTAGGATTGTTCACTAGTCAATACATTGGCAAATATTGCAGTGGGCACTGAATAGAGAGGGGCGGTTATTACATGGAATATGGTACCAATAATATCAATTACAAAGACATCTAACAACATGACCATACTCATAGTTTTGAAAGTATTAAGAATTCATATGCCTTAAAGTGTTACACCAGAAAGTATTTCTCAATTAGGTTATCACTGATGAAGAGACAAAACAAGAAATGTCTGGACGCAAGTTAGACAGGAACACCTGGCATGCAGACAGGAAACTGTTATGACTTGTAACATGTCAACACTGATAAGAAGTGCAGGTGGCTTTTTCTCAACATCTGCACACATCCAAAATTTGAATACTTTCAACGCATTTTGATCACCTAAACAAGGGCTGTTTAGGTCCATATTGATAAAATGAGCAAATCTGTTAGATATTGTTATGACAGTTATTAGACGTGTTCACATGAATTTAAACCAGATTTGTTTATTTCAAGAAACATGTGGTAATAACTTTCCAATTGAAGCTGGAATCTTTTGGGAAGACGCGACGGATGGATCAAACCAGCAACCCGGAAGGCGCTCTATCCACTACACAGTCGACATTTGAAATCTTTTTAATTCAAAAGTGAAATCCAGTAAACTACAGTTATAATGAACTCATGGTAAACTAGGTTTGTGATCCCCATAATATAAAATTAAATAAAGACATCTTACAACATGACCACTAATTGTAGTTCGTTTTAACCGTAGTTCGTATTAGGCATAGATACAGCAAATGGCTTGAACCAAAAACAGTTTGTTATATCTGCGAATTCGTTATAGGCGTGTTCATTATAAACTGTAAAAACATGTTCAAAACAAATAACATAATCTCATCCAAGGGTAAAATATTTTCCGTTGATTTACTTACCCCAAGACAAAGAAGAGGATTGACCACGGCTCCAAAAATGATCATCCCACCAGAAATATCTGACCAACTGACCACATACTCATTACTACACTATGTCCTGAGCAGGACAACTAAGCCGATCAGTGACCAGATTTTCAATAAGCAATCACTCAGCCCCAGTGGACAGTCCATGCTCCAATTATACCTGTGTGATCATGATACACCGTAATAGAAATACAACTACTGTGGACAACTAGTATTGAACAGATATCAAGGCATTCGCGCTATCAAATCATTAAAAGGTAACATTGTTAGAACCAGCGAGACCCAATTCCGCTCATGCGGAGACTGGACATTAGTCTATCATAAAAAGGAATAATTTAACGAGTCCAATGCGATGAGGTTTTCATGACCTGTTTGTACTGTATACTGAGTTCACCTTCACGTACTTTCTCATTTCTTTGTTCCTTGCCTACCCCAACCACACCGAGTCGCATGTCAACTACATGTATCTTTTAATACTACTTGGGGACAAATTGGAGGTTTCTTGGTATGATCGTCCAGAATAGACGCTGGTGAAAGGGCTGACCTTTACAGTCGATCTACTGTCAGTGCTGCCCTCAGCTTCTGCACGGGTTGAACATGGCGTCCTGCACCGAACCCTTCTTGCACGGCACGCGATTCCCCTGCACTAAACCCTCTAAAGTACACTATCCAGTCAAAGCAATACAGATGGTCCTATTTATAGATCTATTAACAGTGCTTTGACAATTGATCACTCGGTATGCCTTAATAAAAGTTTCTGGTTGTATTCCACAAACAGTCTAGGTCACTATGGTCACTCACATCTGTCATAAACATTCTTTCGAGTTGTCGAAAATACAAAAATGGCTTGATTTATTCACTGTAAAGGTTAATGCTGTTTGAGTCAATACCTATTGCCACATAGCATGAGAAAATGGATTAAACATTGATCATAATCAATCATCTGAAAATCACTAATGTTTTACTCAAATTATACATCAGGTTTGGTGTGTCCTGCACTATATGCAGAGATACTGAGTGTGTGGCTTCTCCAGAGAAAAAATCAAATACCTTGGTCAGGTAGCGCTACAGTTAAAATAAAATACCATTTCCTTTGTGATTGAACAGGAGCAAGTTTATCAATTTCTTCCAACAGAAAAGCATCCAACTGACTATATACTGTATGTAGGTTTAGAAATTCATGCTTGTCCGAGCCTAGAAAATATTGCTGAGGACAATCAACATCCACTGACGCTTGGCTACTTACATTCCATTATGGACATGTATGTTGAAACAGGTTTTGCTGCACAGCTGGGGTATAGTCATTGTCAGTCTTATAATATACAGCGACACATCAGGGACTGTTGATCCTTTTCACTACCTTCATGTAGATTTAAATCGACTATCTACACTACGCAAGGAATTAATTCGCACAAATCCTTGTGATGAGAGTTTCCAAGGCTGGTACGGAGACAGGGGGTGCCTAGTAGGCATGTTACTAATTCTCTCAGAATAAAAGTTAACATTGTTTACAGCAACTTTAAATCGTCGACTACACTAAAAAATAATCAGCATAAAAGGTGGGGTCGAAGGTGTTTACCCCATGGCCCCGTCACAATAATGCATCAGTTAAAAGTGTTGAGTACAGGGTGTTTGTAAGCAAGAAGCATGACACTGCTACCTGACCCAGGTACCCCACACAAGGGCCAAGGTTTATGTACCAGGTATGCATATACAGTGACTCATCACTAAGTAGGTCACATTTACGGAAATACCCCCAACAACATCCTGCGAACGTGTACTGGCGTCTGACAACTACATTAAAATGACATTACAGCCCGAGCGAGAGACAACCTGTACTCTTCGTACTGGGTCAATGCATCTTGTCAACAGAATCAGACATGCAAGTCCACACACCTCCATTCAATGCCAGGCTTTCCCGGGCATCAACATAAACACTGCCTATTTTCAATCAACAACAATGAAACAGCTTGTTGCAGTGTTGGATGAAATAGTAAACACATTATTTTCCCATGACTAGACATTAAATTACAAGGCGACGACTCTGGGCAATTGTCAGTGTAAGCAGTTTTGAACATCTCAATAGACACATGTACTGCATGGACAATCATGCTCATATATACACAATGTTAGGAAGCTATGCTGACAGATTACTATGAATGAGGCCGATTAAAGGGATAATGTCCCTACCAAGCGGCAGCGTAGTAAGTGGGCTTCAGGAATGTCAGTTTGCTTTCTATAAACAGAACAGACAAATCCCCAACCCCGGACCCCACAGTAACAAAAGGCACCACTCCAGCCCCTAGTATTGCTCCAGAAACGTAATACAGACGGACAGACCGAATGATGACTAGATTCCCACGCATACGCATTATATGCTGGGGGGATAGAAATGTACGTACTTAAAGCTTCTGTTGTTGACTGGATTTGCCGTGATGTGGATGGTTGTAGATCTGCATGACTGACTAAACCTTTTCTATTTCTCACAATAGAAGGAATGTATGAATTTGGTGTTTCACATCTGACAATTGTTTACCATTATCCTACCAAGGACAATGCTAACACCTCACAATAGATGCAAATATCAGGGTTGGACAGAAGGGGTTCATGTCATCTTTGAGGTTTGTTCCCATAGTATTTGAATCTGGAGACCCACTAAAACCCTCGTGTTGGGACCCCTGTACCACTAATTGGGATGCAAAAACAAACTTGTGCCTGATTTATGATTCCCTAAATCCTTCAATCCTACTTATGTGAGTGAGTGAGTTTGGTTTTAAGGCCGCTTTTAGCAATATTCCAGCAATTAAGTGGGGTATACCAGACATTGGCTTCACACATTATACCCAGGAAAGGAATCAAACCCAGACCCTTTGAATTACGAGCCAACTCTTTTGACCATTAGGCTACCCCATCAACCCCAATTATGCTTATGAAAATATACATGATGTCATAAAACTTAAGATACATTCAACTTAGTGATATTCAACTGAACAGATGCTAAGCCAAGACAGTAATAGTCTAGACATTCAAACTGAAATTAAATTAAAATCAATTACGTGTATGTAACAAACCAAAACAACGTGAACAATGTTGTACTTACATCAGCAAACGATGACTGCGGCGTGACGTAACACTCCCCGCTGCTGTCACTCTCCAGGGACTTGACCATGGACTTGCCCGGGTCATCCGGGGTCAGAATGCGGTGTGGGATGTTCATCTTACACACGTCGCACCTGCAAACAAAGGACAAACAAATTAGATGGCTCCATGAGAGATGGCTCCTAGTTACATGAGAGATGGCTCCTGGTTACATGAGAGATGGCTCCTAGTTACATGATAGATGGCTCCTGGTTACATGAGAGATGGCTCCTAGTTACATGATAGATGGCTCCATGAGAGATGGCTCCTGGTTACATGAGAGATGGCTCCTGGTTACATGAGAGATGGCTCCATGATAGATGGCTCCTGGTTACATGAGAGATGGCTCCTGGTTACATGATAGATGGCTCCTGGTTACATGAGAGATGGCTCCTGGTAACATGAGAGATGGCTCCTGGTAACATGAGAGATGGCTCCATGAGAGATGGCTCCTGGTTACATGAGAGATGGCTCCATGAGAGATGGCTCCTGGTTACATCAGAGATGGCTCCTGGTAACAGGAGAGATGGCTCCTGGTAACATGAGAGATGGCTCCATGAGAGATGGCTCCTGGTTACATGAGAGATGGCTCCTGGTTACATGAGAGATGGCTCCTGGTTACATGAGAGATGGCTCCTGGTAACATGAGAGATGGCTCCTGGTTACATGAGAGATGGCTCCATGAGAGATGGCTCCTGGTTACATGAGAGATGGCTCCATGAGAGATGGCTCCTGGTTACATGAGAGATGGCTCCTGGTTACATGAGAGATGGCTCCTGGTTACATGAGAGATGGTTACATAATAGATGGCTACTGACTACTGGTTACATGAAAGATGACTACTGATTACATGAGAGATGGCTACTGGTTACATAATAGATGGCTAGTGACTACTGGTTACATGAGTGATGGCTACTGGTTACATGAGAGATGGTTACCGGTTACATAATAGATGGCTACTGACTACTGGTTACATGAGAGACTGTTACTGGTTACACGAGAAGTTACTGGCTACATGAGAGATGGCTACTGGTTACATGAGAGATGTTTAGTTGTTGCTCATAAGGAACATGAAACCAAAAAACGGGAACTGTCGCCCATGTTACCAAGTGTCACACACGCTAAATGCAATTTGTGTATTGTGTATTCTACATGTAGTAAAACCTTACCTGAAAGACTTACCAGCCCAAATATGGATAAAATTCTAAAAACACCCAGAATACAATGTACAAATGTCTATCCCTGTCTGCTTGATTTGCTAATGAGAGCAGGAAATTTCAACTATCACAGATATGATTCATAATCATATACCTCAATCATGTTTCAGTATCATTAGATTTGCATATTTCACAACATTCAATTGAAGAAGGGACTATAGGAAGGTAATTAACACATTTATACCCTATGTATAAAAATAGAAACAGCATTGGGAAAGCGTATGTGGTGTGACATCATGACAGCCTATTGGTAGATAATTAGATAAACATAATCACTATCAACCCGTCTAGCCAGACAATAATGCAAAATATATCCAAGCAGATCTGACCTGCGTCACCTGAAAAACCTGTCTAGTCTAACCCACGAGCAGCCAGACAAACATTACGAGACCATTCCAAACCCTGGACATACTCACATCCTGACATACATCATGTCTAGTGAATCAGGCAGCTCCAGGTAAAACCAACATGATGAAAACACACCATTCCCCCATTGCGACCACCGATCAATTCATCTCCGACATAAAACTGCAACAACTCAGCTAAATTCCCCTGCGTTGGGGTCTATTTTGAGCACAGCTCATCGTGCGTAGGTATATCGTTACAATGCTGGCAGCGAAGAGTATCCTCATCAAGGCTTATACAGTGGATGTGCAACCTTATCATAGATTAGGAAACCCTACACCATATGATTTATTGGCTCCAATTATTCAAAATGACCTGTGATTTTGTGACCTGAGATTGCTTGTGATCACCCTACACACTTGAGGATCAATGACCTAGTGCAGGTTTATTGGTTTGGGCACGAGACAGGATGGTGTATGAAGTCGTCCGAAGCCGGCTGATAATTCATTTAGAGTATTCACCTATGCAAACTGATAGACACACAATGACATGAGTTCACAAACTGAATAATTCATTCATAGCTTAGGTTTGTAGATATTTATGATCCTGGTCTGAGCTGAACACCCAAACCAAATTACAACTGTCGGTCATACTGGCTCATCATTGGTCAGCACATTGTGGACAGTTGGATCCTGCAAGTTGACATGACAGGTCACATCTGAATAATCTGTGGTTATTCAATACACCATCACAAACAAACTTGTACAGCACCATGCCGCTGAGTCATTAGTGGTGACCGGTGGTGACCGGTGGTCAACTGACTTGCTCAACAGTGAGGCCACTTCTGACTAAATATGTACAGTGGAATCTGTCCAAATCGGCCTGTGTAAAACTCTCCATCCCCTCAGTTCCATAATAAAATATTACTAAAATATAAAACTGACCTACATATCTGTAATTGGGACTTTTTACAAGTAAAGTTTCAGTCCCAACAACAAATTTACTATTGAAAAAGTGATGACTGGACCAGACTGGACCGGATGTTCTCTTACTTTGAAGAACTCAGCTCGTCATTGTCAGCCAGAACAACAATGTTAATCCTACATGTAATCCTATTGATCATAACACTTTGTCTGCTTAGTTAACTAGAATTGACTCACCTGTTAATGAAAAACTCAGCTTAGTTAGAGTACCTCCGTGTCATGAGCCAGTAGCTTGGCATCAGTAAGCACTGTCTCAGATATACGTATCGTTGCTCTGTTTTCAGGCCAACTTTTTGTACTAGGTCCCAAGATCTACCTTCAACCATAATGAGTTACTGGCTAACTCTGGCATATAATGCATGGCACCTAGTGCTACAGGCGCTGTAGATCAATTTCCCAGGCATGTTCAAGCAAATTAGCACTTATGCTGTAACCACACTGTGCACAGTTAATCCAACACAGGCTGTCACAAGTCACAGAGCCACAGAAGAATTCATATTACGGTTATCAAACCACCATTAAGTTATCCCTATGCTATGATTATCTAGTCTTATTGTTACTTCTTCACCACTACAGATCTTATGCCTTCATAACGATTGTTAAATTTTTTTCTCATAATCCACCCCCCCTTTCTTCACGACTGTTGCAACTCAAAATATATTTTGTCTTGTCACCAGGTTCCGACTTTTCACATCTCACTTGCAGAAGGTTTTGGGTAAACGTCATCGAGTCTACATTTAGTTTCTAACCTACTAAATTTAAATACCCCCTTACCATAAGACTCCTTTTAGCTGTCTGAAGCATAATAGCAATAATGTGATGGATCGCGGCACAGATAGCTGGTCAAAGCAACCTTGGAAATGCCCAGGCAGGTTATAGTGCTCCCTGGAGTTGAGACACAAACTACTTGTGTGTGTATGCAACAAGATTAAAGGCATGCTTGAAACAGACATGAAGTCAATACAAGTTCCTGTTCCTTCCAGTGAGAACAAACATGCATTGAGAGGCTGCAACAGGCCCATCTTCTACATCCTCTCATCAAAATCAGTGGATTACATATCACCGTTACACTGGGATTGTTGACATGAAACTTTCCATGTAAACAAGACAGCTAATACACATTTGAAATACAGTTATGTAAACTGTCATGTCATGATCATATTTTTTACAGTAAGTATTTTGTTGATGTAACAATCTGTTTCTACTTTAATTCTAGAGTTGTTGGAATAGGCAGTGAGTATCTTCACTCAAGTCTCACAGGTGAAGAATGGAAGTACAGTAATATGTTGAGTATTGTTTACCACTATGGCGAAACATAATCCATTGCTAACCTGCTAACAAATCCAACATTTGATACCACAACAAATCTGTGACGTCAATCTGAGTTTAATGCAGCTCTGTACAGCATGTCTGCATAAAGTGGAAGGAAAGCCAGACGTGATGCAGCTCTTGACATTTATCACTTTAGTGAAAATCACGAGCATGTGGGTATTATGCTGAACTTAGAAACATCATTGGCTTGTGCTATGCCTAAGGGATGCAACTCTGCACTGATAAGTTTGGCGCCCCAGAGAACAAATCTACATGGGACCCCCTTGTTGCTGAAATTGGAGGTGAGGTGGTGAAATGGGGTTTATACTTATATATAACGTATATATAGCTATATGCATGCATGCATGCATGCATGTGGATGCTTGTACTAGTCTGGACTATTGCCAATTTTATAGTGCTACCTGACTGAGATACCATGCCACAGTTTAACATGAATACCCCATTCAGTATACTGACTCCTAGCAGATCAGTCCTTGTTTTATCCCCTTAATGCCAAGCGTGAGTCAGGGTAACAAAAAGTGCAATCTTTTAACATCTTTCGATATCACAGGGCAGGGGATTGAACCGCCAACCTCCTCTACTCCTTGAATTTGAAACCCAACAGGCTTACACTAAAGTAATTCTATGACAGACAGACAGACAGACACATAACAAGAGCCTTGGTTGTGGTTGTGTTAAGGTAACCAGGCAACCCAATCTGGCCTGAGCTGGATCTGAGGTTGGGGCACAGCCTGATACACAGTCTGACACCTAGTTTTTTTTTGTGAGAACAATGTTTTTTTACTGTCATGGACACGTTCCAAAAGAATAATCAACCAAGCTAAAAGAATTGCACATCATCTCCGCATTTCATCCAATTCTGTCCCATCTACAGAATTAGCCCTGCAAACTTAATTTAGTGTGGTGGCAGATTTGTTTAAATGATTAGCCACTTCCACTTCACCAAGATGAAAATGGAGCTTATTTTCATTTTCCAACAATACTTTTTTCAGGCTAACCATTTAAAACAATGGTTACTAAAATTCTGCAAACATTTCCGGAAGTCATTCCTCAAAAAAATGAAACTGACGATCCAATTATAATGAAGTTGAAACAGAAAAAATCTCCTCCTTCCTGTTTTCAAGTTGAAATACATGTTTTATAGCTTGACTGGATATAGTGAAGTCAGTCTTCCTGGTGTTATTAAGTACATACATCAGGCAGCCGAGCGGTGGCACAGAATGCTGTTCTAGAATCACACTATTCAGGTGACCAATAGTGGACACAGTGTTCTAATTCACATTATTTAGGTGTCCGTAACCTCTAGCCCCTCAAAAGGCATATTCCAGAATCACAAGTCTTAAGTTAAAGGAAGAAATTGGAAACGTACGTGATCTTAACCATACAAGCATTTCCAAATTATACCACAGAGCTATCAAAGTTACATTGATAACATCTACATCTTCACACTTAAGTAAGCATATCTGTTCATGATGCCCATTCCACCCACACTATCTGCCAGATTAACCTACATCATCAGCAGACCTGTTTCACATTGGTTGGCCATGCAACCTAAAACCTCGCCCTGTTTCAGTGGAAGGGTTGAAAGGTCAGGGAGCATTTGCGTCAGTGCAGCAACATACCGTGAGTGTTGTTATATCACACAGCCAAAGGCTATTAGACTGTACATATGTGCAGCTTTGGAAATATTAAAAGTTCACAATTTAACCTAAAAAGCAGCACTGGGAGGGGCAGAAAGCAACCATTAACAGAATTATTTTTTTTAAATGTAATTCACTGGCAATTTGTATAACATGCTAATTTTTCATAAAATTAGTAAATAAATAAATAAGAATTCAAAATCAAGTGAATAACAACCATGAATCTGTTTGAAATCCTATTTATATTTATGTGTTCCAAATATTTGAAGGGAGAGAACGCTCAATTTGTGTCAGTGACAGGACAGGAGCAAAGTCTGGTCTGATAAGAAGGCTGGCTTCCCTTGGCGCATCTGTCATGCATAGGCTCAACTAGTTTGAATATTTGAAATTATGCTGATTCATTCTGATCTTATGGATAGTGCTCAATCTCAGGCCTTAGATGGTTTGGTTCAGGGACGTAGTGTCATGTGTGATACTGTCTGCCGCTTTGAACAGTATTTCAGTAACGTCATCTCAGCTTGTGAGAAGAAAGGTTGAGGTGAAATTGGGTTTAACGTCACGTCCAAGATTATTGCACGTGTGCACGTGTGTGTTTGTGTGGCTGCTTGTACCGGACTGATGCCAATTTATAGTGCTAGCCCACTGAGATACCATGCCGCATGAAAACCCCACTCACAGTATACTGACTCCGAGCCGACCAGTCCTTGCTTTAGCCCCTTAATGCCGAGCGCCAGACAGGGTAACCATCTAAAACATCTTTTGGTATGACGCGGCCAGGGATCGAACCCCAGACCTTCCGCTCTCAGGGCGGACGCTCTACCACTAGACCACGGAGGCGCTTGATGTAAGTCATGTGCCATGAAACCTAAGAGCACAGGAAAGGTGCTAACAAACTGGGATTTAAAACCACAATCTGCCAGGTCTTCATTTCGTGAATTTGAATCTTCCACATACTGCTCTATACATGATCAGGAAATGAAGATTATCTTTTTAACACTTGCACAGATCAAAATGATAAAACCACACCAACCCCTATACAATGGTGACAGACCATGACATCCAATTGCAAGGCAAGGACAGATCATCCATAAGAGTTTCCCAGTTTTTCCAATGCCTTGGGAGAAAACAAAATAAGCATTGGGAACATGAGACATGAAATAGTACTGAAATTTACCTTGACATAAGTGCTCCGTCGAGGCTATCAACATTCATGTCTTGGATATTCGTGTTACCAGTCTGTGATATTCAAGTATCTTCTCAAACAGTTCCCCAATTGATCACCTCAGTCTAACACCTCTACAGTCGTCTTTAGATGTAGCTCCACAATTCACATTTTCACCTGTCTAACACGCACTTGCTGTGAATAAGCTCACACCCAGCTCTAATGGCCAATGTCCAAAGCCCTTATGAATCTAACGTAGTTGCTAACTAGACTAATCTTGTTCTGTAAACACATTGTTGTACGTTGGGGTCACGACAATTGTTTGGTTTTCCCATGATGTAAGTGGCTGAGTGTGACGTGACTATTTGGCCATAACTCACGTCAGCGTCTAGCATGGGACTATCACCTGTTGCTTTGAGACTGGCCTTGAAAGTGCATATATTCAGGGTATATCTGGGTCATTCCTCAGGAACTGGGATTTCTGAATCAACAGGTGTCTCATTTCCCACAGGTAGATAAGAATCAATACAGAAACAAGTCATGGTTATTTATAAATCATGTATGATGTAAACACTTATGTGTAGTCAGTATGAGGCTGAAGTGGTTTAACTTTAAGAGGAGCAGAGCAGCAAACATGACTCTTACTTTGGCTACCTTGAAACTTTAACAAATTGCTGGGATATCTCAATGCATGAATCAGTGAGTGGGTGAACATTGAGTCATCAGTCACAGCTCAGCACCATCAGTACTAACTGTCTGGAGCAGACAATGCATGCTATCAACATTGGTGCATGCTGCATCATGGCCTATACATGATCATCTGGGCCCTGTAAAACACTGTAGTCCCTGAACAATAATCTACATAGGATGTTTTGACACCTAATCTGCCAGGTAACCACCCACTCAGGGTTAGAACTTGGCCTGATAGCCCAAGGTAGTACAAATTTCTAAGGGCTAGCACAAATTTCCCCTGTTTTAACATTACAAGGGCATTTTATCTTTACACGTCGTAGAATGCTTTTGAGTTTAGTTCTAACCCTGCTGGCAACCCTGAGTATGGGTCAGTAAAGATAATTCTGCAACAAGATCCCACAAGGTTGGTGGTTGATAGCATGAGCATCAAATGTCACTAAGGTACAATGACCTGCAAGGGCTGACAGATGACACGAGTGAAAGATATCCATAAATCTAGAAATCATTGTGTCTTCAAAGAAAGCAGACAAAATCTGGAATATAGGAACATATTTAAATTTTTCCAAACTTTCCTGTTTTTAACTTACAATCCAGAACAATGTTTTGGCAACAACCTTTATGACCTAGGGCTCATTGACCAGACAAATGTCAATAACTGTTGCTTCACCAGGACTTGGCCGACACCGAAATAATCCCCATCAAAATCTCATCCTATTTAGCTGATTAATAGCATTCAGCCATCGTGGATTTAAACAATGAATGACGATAACCCCAGACTGACTGTGTTCCCAGCAGACGCTGTACTGGATTCAAGACAAGACTGAATATCAGGTGGGCCAAAACTTGGTTTTGTGATTAGTAGTAGTGATGGTAGTAGTAGTAGTAGTAGTAGTCTAAGTTCCATCATTGCCAGAACAAGGAACCCTCTAGTAGACTGCTACAGTCTACCATAATCCATCCTGTCGGGAATTCAGGACAGACAGGATTATTTCCTGTCCATTTTATACAGCCAGAATTGTGACTGCATCAAATCAGTGAACTCAATCACTGTTTCAGTGACATAAACGTCCAAACCAATACAAGTGCTTCCATCACAATTGAAGAGGAATTTTGATGTTGAATTCCCCTCAAAACAAACACCTGAGGTTTGTGATTTTTGTCAAAATGTCAATTTGGATCCACACTTTTATACAACAGTCTGATCTGTTAAACTGAATTTTTCCCTGTCAAATTTTCCATTTTTTAAAATTCTTGCAGGAAGATAGATGTTATTGGCAAATAGATATGTTTATTTATGCCAGTCACATTCATGACCTTTCCTTGATGGTAATAAATCGTTATATCAATGCTGATTACACCAATAAAGCAATCATCAACTACATGTATATATATATCAATCAAGTCGGCAGCTGTTACTAACATCACCTACTTGGGATGTCCAATCACATTAAGGTCACTGGTCAATAGGGGCTACCAACAGGTCAAGCCCGGCTGACCACCACATGACAATCAATAAACAACCTCTCATAGTCCTCATATACAAGCTATTAACCTCAATCTGGTCACTGATTTCATAACAGTAGTTTGGACAAGACCCATTGTATGGTCTTAGTGAAAGCATTCTGTCTTCAAGATTAGGAAATAGCTGATATCATAATTAAAATAAAATGCGTTCACACAACATAAATCAAATCAGGCATGTGATCACTGAAAAATAAATAAACCAGTACTCACTTCATCAAACACCTCACAGCAAGTTGTTTCCACATTCTAGAAACTTCAAATTAGGAATGAACGATGAATCCTGAAACATCCCACAAGCATCTTGTGGGTATCAACCGTAACCCACTCTAGCCATTCCCGCCCATAGTGTAAAACATCACTGCCGCTTGTCTATGTATTTTGACCTGTCAACTTAACAATGGAGGGCTATGGTCAGGGTGTCGGTGTGTGGCAGGTACAGGGCCATCGCTGTCCAGACTTGACCAGCAGTACGTGCTGACCGCTGACCAGCTAATCTTCAAGACAAGTACTTAGTCTACCAGCTTACAATCTCTGATAATCTGGGACAGCAGGAAATATGGATTCTTTCCCATGGTGAACGTTACTGCTGTTTTCAATCTACGCCAAAAAAACAACAAGACAAATATTCTTTTCAGAGATTCTACAACTCATGATGTGTTTGAATAAGTTATTTATTTTTCTAAATATCAACTGTTTTTCTGACTACAGATTTATGTCCACATAAAAGCTAAGGCCCCATTCCACAAAGAGATGTAAGTGCTAAGATGAACTAAATGGCCCGTTCCAAGAGGCAATTGTAGCGCTAAGATGATTGTAACTCCCATACTTTACGACAGTTGTAGTGCTAAGATCACTTTGTGGACAGCGCCCGGTAAATTTACAAATTCATAAATTAAAAATCTCTAGTCTGAAGTGATGCAGGTCGGAGACATTTACTACTTGGTGACATTTATAGCATGGTATGGTGCTTACAAACCAGGTTTGTAATCAGGGCAAATCTGAACTCATCATAGAATCCTGGCATGCCTAAGGGATACAACTCTGAGAAGCATCTCTGAAATGCAATACCTAAGTACATGCCTTGCAAAACTGGGCAACCAGTGCCAGCTCAAATACTGGAAGGCACTGTCATCATCCCTGTCACTTCCTTCTGAAGAACTAGTGATCACCAACATGAGACAGCCGGTACTATCAGTTCCTGTTTGTGTGTGGAACTAGGTTAATGGCCCTTTCACAATCGGCTTACCTTACTCAGTGTCAGCTTCAGTGTCAACCACTCACCAATTAGCTCCGTACTGTGACGCAAGTTACCCGCCCGTACTATTACTAAATCAGGATTTTTGAAAGGAAGGAGCAGGGATTCCAAGTCAAAGATAAAACAAAACTAGGCATTTCCAGGTCTAGGTCAACAGCAACAAGGGTTATCTGCCTTGATCTGTCATGTGAGTGGTCAGTCTTGTCCAGTCATCAGTGGGACGTGCTGGTCACTGGGCCTAGAGGGTCACACCATGTGTCCAAGTTACAGGGCTATCTGGGCCTGGGACGTGTATCAATGAGACAAATGGAGGACAATTCCCCACACAGACATTTCCCTCCTCGGATAGTATGGCTTTCAATGTGGCCTTCATCCTATTCTATACACACAAAACATAGAACAACTCGAACCTGTATGTAAGTCCCTTTCTTCCACAAATTATGAAACCTGAACCCTTCATTGAAACAAAGTGCTTAGAAAAACAACAACCTTCAATCACAGTAAACGAGAGAAAAAACATGGTTTCATTACACTCTAAATCTGCTATTGTCTGTGTTGAGAAAATCAAGTTATTGATGTGTTGGCGTGGGCTATTGTCCCTTTATTGGAGGAGAAATGAGATCGCCCTAGTGAGACACTTTCAACAGACAATGAATATTCATAAACTATTCACCCTTTTATCCAATATAACAAAATCTTCACAGTGGCAATTTTTATTACCTATATACTACTTTCAATTCTGAATTCACAATGAATTCACAACTACGATAAATTCACAACTACCAAACAGTCACAACATGGAGTTATTATTTCCATTCCTGAATTAGCCACAATGAATTCACAACTACGATAAATTTACAACTACCAAACAGTCACAACATGGAGTTATTATTTCCATTCCTGAATTAGCCACAATGAATTCACAACTATGATAAATTCACAAATACCAAACAAACAAAACATGGCTAAACCTCACAGCTTGTCACTATCAATCCTAATCATGCTTACACACAACAAACATCAAACAGTTCGCACAGAAAAAAACATCCCTCTCAGAAACTCCCCCAATTCATGGCTGCTATCCCACACAACAAAGGTCCAATTTTGGAGATAAACCTCTTACTCACCTCCAACAAAAGACCCGTCATGTAGGTATCCCAGAACCGAACCGCAATCAGCAAGCCAGTGTTGTGAACAAGCAGCTCTACATTCCACACTCCCACACAACCGACCAGCCTCTGTAGCCTCCCAACCTCCTCATTGAACACACAATGGTGTGGACTGTTACATCACAGTGCGCCACCCTGTCCCAATTAGCGCGGACCCTGCCTCCTCCCCTGACCCCTTTCTGTCCACCCTTGGCTGTTGAACTGGGGGTGATTACCAGCTCACTCTCTAATCATCAAGGCGTCATCTGTTACCTCACCCCTCATCTCCCTGGGTTATCAAGGCTCCTCAGTAGAATATTAGTTTTAACTGAACAATCCATACCTCCAGTAACCGTAGGATTAGCTTTGGGAATGTGTTGCTACAGATTTCAATTAGTGTTGTACTTCTGTTGTACTTTTTCCAAATTGACAAAATCAAGGCTATTGTCATTTTAAGCTCATTATAAAGAAAAAATTGGGCCCTAAAATTTGACCACTATGACCTCCCATTTTATAATCCCACTTCTGACAATCATAACATCTCTTTGGAGAACTGTGGCAGTGTCGGAACACTACAGCCATTGGAAGTGTTTGTTAAAATATGGGAGTTACGATCATCAGATTTTTATTGGACTGGGGTTTGGACCATAATGTCACAAATCAAGTTGGATACAGCAAAGTTTCAACTGATGTGTTCCTCCCACTTGGCTCTCTCAAATAATTCTTACCACAACACAAGTTGACAACCATCAGCAATTTTGTTGAACAATTTTCTAAATATCTGCCTGACTTGACCAACTTGTATGACATGAACTATATACCTACATTATACATTACTGCATCA